GACATCATAGTACGGAAAGAACCACCAATACCATGACTCATTGCCACTAACCGCTCAAATGTTCCAGGGTGAGGACAGCCAAAAAGGCCGATGGCTGCGAACTGGTCCTATCCTGGAGCTGATGGACGTGCTGGCTGGCACCATCTCGTCTCGCGTGTCACTGGGCCCCACCGCCACCATCTCGTTCGACCGTGTGGACCTGGTTAAGCCCGTGTTCCACGGCGACTTGGTGCGCGTAGAGGGCGAGGTTATCGGTCTCAGCAACTCGTCCATGGCTGTGCAGGTCAGCGGCTACCGCCACGATGTTCCCACTGGCACGTTCCAACACACGCACGATGCTATTATCACGATGGTGGCCATCAACCGATTTGGACGACCGAGGAAGGGTCTTCCGCAGCTCTTCGACCCCGACCGAGCCGATTACTGCCTCAAGATGAGGGAAGTGGCTAATCAACGCAAAGAATTGGCGAGACGATGGCAAAAAGAGCAGGAGGCTGTGGATAGAACCCCCTTAATTAAGAACAGCGACCTGCTGCCCGGAGAGACCAAGGACGAGTATGTCTCCGTGAGCGAGACGGAGATCGAAGTACGCAACTGGTTTTTGCCGCGCAACCTCAACATCAACGAGACGGTGTTTGGTGGTGACTTACTCACGTGGATGGTACGTTTGAAGCTTATTTGATATGATGTTTTACCGTGGTCATGCTTACACATTGATGAATCGTTGGAAATTCAGGACCGAGCCGCGTTGTACTGCGCCGAGAACTTTACGAAGTCGGAGAAAATGGTGACTATTGCCATGAACCGCGTGCTGTTCAAGCTTCCGATCTCGATCTCGGATATCGTCACGGCCCGCGCCCGTGTTGTCAATGTTCGGTGAGTTTCAATCAGATGGGAGCTGATAGTTTTGGGTTAGATTGACTTATGCACTTACTGTTTGTTGTGATCGGGTATATTAGGCGTTACCGCCTCGAGGTCGAGGTCGAGGTGTTTGTTCAATCTGTCGTAGACGGCGGTGAGCGCAAGTCTCACAGCGGGTATGTCATTCTCTTCTCGATGTATAGTCTTGAATGTCAGTCCTCACTTTCCGTTGGTGTGTTTTTCTGTTACATTAGCTACTTTACGGTGCTGAACTTGGATGAAAAGGACGCGTTCAAACCGATCGACAAGGGCCTCAAAATCGACGAAGACAACCAGCACGAGATGCGGGTGCTAATGAAGGCTCAGAAACGTCTGGAGTTTGCCGAAGAAGACAAGAACGTACACTCGCTGAAGACACTGGAACCCCGGTTGTGATTTTGAAGCACCCGCCCACCCACCAGCAGTTGGATAACTGCTACATTAGACAAGAGCGTTCATTGAACGCTTCAATGGATTGACTCATTTCATCTCTTTTCCCATCTGGCATTGCGCTGAGATCACATGAATTGTAGCCCTGAGGATAACGACAGATGGTCACCACTTCATCGGGCACAAATGACAGCGGGAAGATCACGGTCACCGAGTCGGCGACCATGGAAAGTCTGGTGATCACTTCAACGTCGCACGCTCACGTGGATAGACAGAGGGTTGGATAGTAACACGACTTCTTCCATGGTTTGAACTTATACAAACGTTAATAAAGACACTTCACTAGGCTTAGCGGCGACGGTGCCGGTTAAAACGGAGAAAGAGCACACCGATGACGAGGATCTGCAGTACGACCGAGTAGCCTGCCAGGATGATCATGTTCTGCCAGACGTTGACCTTCTCCATGCCGTAGCCTTTGAGTATATTCCACGCCTCTTTCGTGTTGACCTGGGAAAAGTGCTCGTACATGAAAGACTCGAACGAGTACGTGTGGAACGCGATGTAGTAGCCCCATCGCCAGTAAACTGGCATGTCTTCGAACGGCACCATAAACCCTTCGCAAAGCATGAACATACCGAAGAGACCGGCACCCAAGGCGATACCCATGATGTAGTGCGGTACGGCAGCTCCGAGTAAGTGCATCAGCGACTCGGCGGCGATCAGCGACAACGTCAGGTTGAGTAGGAAGGTCGGGAACGAGCGTACGTGGGCCAGGAAGACCACAATCGCCGAGGCTAGCACAGAGATAAGCAGGATACCCGGTAACGCAGCCAGCAGGTTAGACATCGTGTAACCAGTCAATGACAGCGCGTACGCCCGCATCTCTCGCTCCATGATGGCACGGTGCTCCAGTAAAGCTGGTAGAGCAGCGACGGACATGAAGACGAGGAAAGCTTGCACGTAGAAGAGCAGCGACACCATTGAGATGTCCTTGATGCCGTTGTTGGAGCTCAGATACATGGTACCCACCATGAGCGACAGCAACACGTACATGAGTACACGCAGCCAGAAGACACCGGGATGTCGCCAGTTGTTGGTCAAGTTACGCTTCACCAACACGAAGAACTGGTCCATCGGCCACGGTCGCATCGCCTTAAGAAGTTCTGGATTGGCCAGGTGATCGCGACGCGAACGATCTCTGACTACATCGGCACGGAGACGCTGCGGCTCGGCACTTTCCTTGAGTGCACGAATGAATGGCTCGAGTTTCAGGCCTTCGTGGAAATTGGTGTTAACCAGGTGGACGAAGTACTCAGCTGGGTTCGTGTACATTGGGCATACGTATCCCATCGAGAAGAAGTGGGCGATAGCAGCGTTTGTAGGACCGCCGTAGACGAGTTCACCGCCACTGAGGATGATGAGGTTCGTAAGCATGCCGTAAATGGACGAAGAAGGCTGGTGGATGGTGCACACAACGTTCTTGCCGCCCTCCTGGCACAACCGCTCGATGTATTGCATCACACCGCGAGCTGAGGACGAATCCAGGCCGGACGTCGGCTCGTCTAGGAGTAGAAGAGCGGGGTCGGAAAGGAGCTCCAGAGCGATGCCAAGACGCTTGCGCTGACCGGAGGAGATTCCCTTGTGGAAGATATCGCCAACACGGGCATTAGAGCACGATCGTAGACCCATGGCGTCGATCACGTCTTGAACACGGGCTTCACGCTGGACCGGGGGCATGTGGCCAGGCAGACTCAAACCAGCGCCAATCTGCAGCGTTTCGAGCACGGTGAATGCGCCTAGGAACGCCATGTCTTCCGACACGTAGTTCATGATAGAGTGAAAGGTGCGGAGGTCGCGTGGCTGGCCGTTCACCTCCACAAGTCCTTCCAAATGCACGCCCGAGCCTCCCGACGGCACTCGGTCCGCGAGCATATCAAGAAGTGTGGTCTTACCGGCACCGGACGGACCCAAAATGGCCGTCAACTCGCCTGGTCCTGACCGTCCCCACACGTTGTTGAGGATTTTGCGGGGTTGCTGGCGCTCGAACTGCGCCTCCAGTCCGGACGGACCCGATCCGCGTTTGCTGTTGTTACGGAGACGTCCGAGCGCCTTCTCCTTGGGCTGAATGAAGTACGAAATGTGTTGCCAACTGATGGAGCACGTCTGCAGTGCCGCGCGTTGGCGGAATCCCTCGGTCGACAACTGCGAGTCGCCGTCGAAGAGCGCGACCTTGGGCTTCACCGGCACGTTGTTGTTGCTGAACGTGTGCGGTGCCGGTCCCTTGATGGTGTCCAGGTTTTCAAATGCCGTACCGGGCGACATCATGCCGCTCTGGTTCAATTGCGTGCGACTGCGTTCGAGCTCGTTACGCGACATCGGGGCGCCGAGCACCGCCGTGGGCTCCGATCCGTCGGAGCTCATTGGGGTATGGCTCGAAGTTGAGACCTGTCGGAGCACGGGCCTGCCGTCCATTGCCTGTACGAGATTTTCGATGCAAATTCAGTCGAGTCGACAACTGAAAGTTTGTCGACAGGCACGAACTCTCTCTTCGGGCCGGCCTTTTCCGTTGTGAGAGCGCCCCTCACATCATCCCTTTGAGCAAAGCGGGGTGGTGTCCTCGGTAGAGAACAGGTTGATGCGGACGGGGCCGACAGATGCGCCGATCCCGAACACCTGGGGTGCCGTCGTGACGTTCCGTGCGTAGCCTCGACGGATTGTCAAAGTCTCACCTTGGCAAAGCGCCGGGTTCCAGTCACCGTCGTTACAGGAACCGGAGCAGATCAAACGACGGTGGCGTCGTGGGAGGGGTAGAGGCACAAGTTGAACGGTGGACCGATTGGGAACGCTTCGTGGTGGGGAGTGCACACGTGTCCGAAAGAAATCCCACTCGGCTCCGTCGACTATCCGCTCCGTTGTTGTTGCCGTGATAGGTGTTGCCCCTCACGAATACGTACACTCGGTCCTTGAAAACCAGAGACTGTAGGCGTAGCAACTAAAACTCAAGATAGGCTAGAAAATTTACGCCCAGTACGTTACGGCAATGTAGGCCAGCGTGCTGGACGTTGGGAACGATGCCTATAGCAAGGTGGCGCGTAGCATCTGCTTGCTGTCTGCTCACTACACTGTACCAAGCACCTGGAGACAAAGTCACGGTTAAGTTGGATCCGTCACAGCATCAGTTAAGTTGAACAGCGGATGTTGCTGCTGCAATCTGATGTGGTGTCATCGATCTGTGCTGTCTCCAGTGCAGAATAAAATATATTGCTACATCGACTGCTTGACTACGGCCACTGCGATTCGACTTGTTGCTGCTAGTGGATCTTATCCCAATGCCAGCCATGTCTTCTTTAGCGTGGACTATCGCAGTCCCATTACACATTCAAGTCTGACGCCCGAGAATGGTACCTTGAGGTCACGATGGTCGACACCCCGAGATTCGAGCCGGACGTCGCGGTACACTAATTCCTGTAGCTAATGGCACTCATGATAGCATGACGTCGTTGCCAACGCTTCTGCTAGCGACTCGTTTGCTAGAGTGCATTCCAGTACACACCAATCAGCATGGGGTGCTTCCGGAAGCCTGTGTACACGCAAATATTGTAAAATACTATTATCGTAGGTTATCGGCCAGCAGGTACTGCAAGCCGCGGGCACCTCGCAGGACGAATCCCAACGACAGAGATCCGCACGACCGCCGCACTGTCCAATAAGTACATACAGGTACCCAGCATCGCTTGTTTGCGTCTGGTTGATAAAGGTGACAACCCCCGTCAACCATTGCATTGTCCCCATGAGTCTAAAAGCTAAAAACTACAGTACGTGTACCAAAATGTTGTACCAATGCCAGTGTTTATAGATATCCTGAATGCATCCATGTACTGAACCCCCGCTCAAGTGATCTCGTAGTTTAAAACCGTGATCCCGGTGCTGAGGAAAAAGATCTGAGTCGCTCTGTGCGACTCATTGTCGGGAAACCGCAGGTTAGATTAGCTGGCAAATAGCCTGACCTTGAGCCAAGGTCTCAGGTTGAGATTGCCGAGGTCCACGGTGCTGTCATGACCTTTGGTCCACCTCTGCACATCCATAAGAGCTGCCTCAAGGATGGCGCTCAGTTTGTGCTTCCCGACGGGTCATCGCGACGTGTGTGCGGCCAGATTCCATCGGTACTGCTATCTCTCATCCTAAGTACAAGGTGAATGGTAGTGACCGCGGTGACATTGTGCCACTGGGCTGCATAAATAAAACATGTGCATCGGAGTCATATTTACCCTGTACTTTGGTGCCGCTGCGCTGCATGAAGAAAACATGAAGTACATTGGAGTCATACTTTCCCTTTACCGCACAGGTAATCGCGATCGCTTTTGTCAGCATCACGAGGACACAGCAAACGACTGTGGGTTAAGGACGGTGCTGTAGAACAAGGCTAGACGTTTCACTATCGTGCAAATCTTCAAAGATTCTCGACCTCAAGTCTGGCTGTCCCGGTCTCAACAAACTCAATTCGAACTGAAAATTCATCCCGAAGAATATACATGTAGTCGAGACACCGGCTCCTGTCCGGCTCGCTTGCGTTTGATTGTATCGCCCGTGGCTAAGAAACCTTGCTAGGTACGGTATATCGGCACAATGTGTGAGTACATGTCCGATTCCGATTTAGTGTGGGAACGATGCTTCATTCTTTTATGCCTTTTAGGGTAAAACGAGTCAATCTATCGTACTACCATGTTACTAACATAATGTTAGTAAGAATTATGCTACCGGAGCTAATCTACTGCAGCTAATCTACCACTGTACGCACGGCATACTCTGGTCTAACGTAAGTAGTTATCCAACTGCTGGTGAGCAGCTGCTTTACATCACAAGAGCGGCGCTTGTCTTCGTCGGCAAAATCAAGACGCTTCTGAGCCTTCATTACACTGTAGCATCCGCATTTCGCGCAGGATGTCCTCGACGATCTCGAGGCCATTGTGGAATTC